AGTTTGTTCTGACAGATCTCAAATCAATCTTCAAATCATGGCTTCCTAGAAACACATCCAGGCAGCCTCTCTGTTTTCATCCTGCACCTCTGTCACTGTCCTCTCCTGTGCATGGTTCTTTATTTCCTTCTTGGGGACTGAGAGGTTGTTTTTTTTTTAGATGGGGGGGTAGGCAGAAAGGAATTTCTTTAGAAGTGGCTGACAGCCATCTCAGACATTCCAGGAGGTGGAGATATAGAGATGGAAGAAATGGAGAGAACGATGAAGCTACGGAGGAAAAGGAAGCATGGGAAGCATGGGAAGCTAGTGTTATGCAGCCTGAGGGACGAAGGGTTCGAGACAGAGATTAAAAATGGAAGAGATGTTTGTTATGTAAAGTACCAAAACATTTGTTTCTTGTACTCAAATGCACTGAATTCTTTTCAGTGTAGCGAAAACACAGAGTTTAAAACACAGGCCATGATACTGTTTATCCTTCCAGGACTTTAGAGATAATATACATTGGTTTTAGTGGGGCGTTCAAATTTCTTTTGTTGCACCAGCACATACTTGCACATCCACCAAGCCTTTTGATACCTTTATAATACTTTTTAAACATAATCTTTTTTGGGTTGTTTTATCATATCTGAGCCATGGACATTGGACAGGCGTTCCTTGCAAAAGGCAGATATTAACTGTGTTGCAATTCAGGGGCTGCATGTTGCGTCCCAATTTTGAATGCTCCTTCCAATGTGTCCTGTCCAAATGTGTCCTGTCCACTTCGAGAAAAGTAGGTTCCAATTGGTTGAACCTTCCTGTCCCAGCATATCCCAGGATTCATTCATTGAAAAACCATTTTGTGGCGAGACGTCAAATGCTTAAGTATCAACCCTCAACTCACCCGAACAGCTAATGGTACATAAAAAAACAAGGGGCATTAAAAAGGTCTTGTCCTGACCAACTTTAGCTCTGTTGCTGGGCAACGCAATAAGGGCGGGATGAGCTGGTGACGGCAATCATGGAAAGTCATGAAGACTGCCTCCCATGGGCGGGTAGACCTCACCCTACAAAGGTCTCTGATTTACTGTACTGCACTTAAGGACAGTTTCTAGACACTTTTACTTTGTTTACTTCCATGTACTTACTAGGCCATATACTTCTACTCCACTACTTTGAAGATGTATATTTTACACAACAAGCTTCAAATATCCAACACATAGTTAAAGATTGAGCCAGTGTTTGACTCCTCAAGTCTTACTGAAAACAGTGACATTACAGATGTCTGAGTTGTAAACTGCTCCACCAAACAGTGATATTTGCCCTTTAAACTTCTCACATGAACAGTTCTATAAACATTTAATCCATCAAATCTGAAGTGTGCAATAATGCATTAGTCAGAAAGACCAAACCAGTCCTGGTCTAACTACATTTTGCTGCTTATACATATGCACTAAAAAGGTTTATCATGCAGTACCATGCAGCAGTATTTTTAGTTTACTTTTTCTTCAGCAAAGGATTTGATCACCTCTTCCACCGTTGAGTCCGTCTGTCAGGGACGTCGGGTCTGGTCTGGGACAGGTGGGAGGAAAGAACAATCAATACCCCTTACTTTGAATCTGCGGTATGTTTTAAGGCTGTGATGTCACTCGAGGAAGAGTGCAGGGTGTGGTTTTCACACATTTTCGTCAAGCAAATCAGGAGCAGAGTAGGGGCAGGTCAGAAAAAAATACCTGTGAAGTATCAGGTGCACTGGTGCAACCACTGAAATGTTTAGTTGCTCAATTTGTGGTTGGACGCAGTGCTACAGGTGTGCTCTACCATACTTCTGCTTCTGCATGCTGTCAAAGTGAATAATCTCTCTCTCTGCTTCTCTTCTTCCTTCTCTTCTTCTGCAGTATGGATGTACGGCTTTACAGACAGCCCGAGGAAAGAGGCCTCAGGTAGCCTTGTGTGTCTATGTCAACATGTCGAAAATGCATGCACTACTGTGCCTGTGCGAGAGTAACGCACCAGCTGCATCCCTTTAGGTTTTTTTCCCCGGTTTATTTCTTTTCACACTTCAGCTTTCCCTCTACATCTGCTTTGCATGCGCTATCATCCTCTCCTTCCACCCATCTGCTGCAGTTCAGCCTCTCTTTCTCCACTGTCTATCCATCTCTCTCTGCAGACCTGCTTGGCACTCAGTGCTAGAAAGGCAGAGCGTGGACTTTGGGTCAACATGTGGCAAAGCGCCTTAGACCCAAAATGGGCTGTCAAGTCTGGTCCGATTTGTCCCTAACACTGTTTTAAATCACTTTATGTGACCCTAATTCAGCTGTGGGCGTGTGTCGTAGTGATGAGTTGAGAGAGGTGTGGATTTGAAATTGTTTCTATTGCCAAATAAACATCTCAGCAAAGAACATTCTTTTCCTGAAAATATAAACATGACTTTGACACAAAGACAATCAAAGAATTGCCCATCTGGTGTGTATTTAGCAAATGTTCTTGAGACATTTAGCTGTAATGGAGGCATTGCTGGGGAAAGACACAGATATGTTGTTTCCTTCCATTAGAGTGAGCTTTCAGTGTGTCCATTGGAACAACAGAGACAAATCCTCACAAAGTGTATAGAGGGTGGAAAGATATTGCATGATTTTGAGAAAAAAACGTTGTTCAACGTAAGTATTTGAGAATGAAGGGCAGAAATGTAACAGGTTTTGGGGATTTATGATTTTCTCAAGGCGTGGCTGCCATTACAACTACTCACAGCTTTTAAATAGCTTTATATGTTCTGCTTTATTACCTCTGGCTGACTCTGATGGCTCCATGCATACAGGATGCTGACATTCTCAGCAAAACTGTGTGTTTTTTTGTCTTTATTTTCTCCTCCTGGGAGAAAGCTAAAGAAAGACAGAGATGAATACCCAGCCTCACCCAGTGGGGGAGGTAAGGTTAGTTACAAGAGTTGTAACTATGTAAAGATGCTTCAAAAGATTTCAAGCGCTGCACAGATGCTTTAGCCTACTTCTTATTGTACTGAGCATTCTCATAAAAATATTACAAGGCCGCAGTGAGGATAAAGTATTCAGCTGCATGTATTCTAAGTTATTCCCTTATCTCATGTTTATTTGAGCCTCAGGAGAGCAACTTTCTGTCAGTTGGATAGAAATAGACTTAATCTTGGCCTTGATTGAGTCTCTTACATCTCAAATACCTAGATATGCAGAGATTAACTCTGACTATACAATTAGTGTTTAGGTTTAGTCCCATTAACAAAATGACAAAGTGGCTGACTGCAGATAATTCACTATCTCATAAGCAGAGAGAGATTTGCTGTGTGATGCTACTTTTATTCTGAGGCATGGTAGTTAGGCAGAGATGGTGTATTTGCTCCTCCTTTCTTTGTATTTTGTACATGTTCCAATTGTTGCCATAAAGTGACAGATTGTTGGGCTCTTTCTTATTTCATGCAGTTGGTGTGATGATGGCATGAACATTAGCTTTTTCAACTTTGGTAACGACATATTGCAGTGTGGGTTATTACAGCTCCTCCCAGAGAATTATGTGCTTTAGGTCAACCCTGTGTCCGCTGTCAGTTTTTAGTGGCAGTGCAGCCACAGTTAAAGTTTTAGGATGGACGTGTCAACACACTCTTCTCTGACACACAGACAAAAAGAATAAAAGCTTTTTGTCCGCTCACAACATTATTTCAGTTTACATGCGGAGGGTCTGATGAGAAGGATGTGGATGCAGGGTACACAGACTCTGTCAAGAATTTAAAAAAACAAGCTTGCCAATGCCTTTAAAGTAAAAAAAAAACTTGAGTAATTGATCATTTGTCCGCCCCAGACTTAGGCATCACAGTTCCACACCTAGCAACCCTCAATGTGGCCATAATATATGATATGTTGTTTTTCAAAGATTTTGTGTATTTTCCAAAACATTGAAGTATTTCTTTAAAAAGTAATTTACAGCTTTGGAACAACTTTATATAAGGAATTGTGGAGCCTTTAAAACAAATCGGACAGGTATTAAAATTAAATTTTTGTTACCAACAAATCACTTTAGTAATATGTTTCCACATAGCATCTGTTTATTTGTTCATATCGTTGACACAGACACACTGAGATACTTGAACAACAGAACACAATGTTATGGGTGTGAAGCAAAATCTGTTGTAATGTCCCTCTGAGCCTGCATGATTGATTTCTTCTGTGGCCAAACAAGCAAAAAAGTGTGCCTGCAACTCGGATCAGATGTTGACCGCAAGGGTGAAATCACTGCTGGCATCGAAAAGGTTAAACATCAGAGAGAAGGAGAGAGAGAGAGAAAGCAGAGTGGCCTAAACCCCAACTGAAATGCTTTCTTCTTTTGTTTCACATAAACATGGACCCAACCTCCTTCTCTGTTCCTCTCCCTCTCTCTCCCTAGTCCACTCATATGTTTCTATTTAAGGCCAGCAGTGCCGACTACCATGATTGGTGTGTTCACCCCCCCTCCCGACTCCCTGTCCAACGGCTGGCTCCCAGCGGCAGTGGAGGGGAGGCCTTTCCACTCAACCGCACTGTTGATTTTCCACAGGGAAACTTCACCATTCTTCCACTCATTCGCTCCCCAGTCTTCCCGTCCAGTCGTTAGCTGCTCCCGTATTTCTCCTTTTTTGTTTTTCCCTCTCAGTCTTTTCCTTTGGATCTTAAAGTTTGGTTCATGTCATGGATCCGGCTTAGGTGGAAGATGCAGCTCCTGCAAAACAATTCTATGTGGTCCCTCCTTTTGTTTTGATTCCTTCCAATGCTCCTCAGTCCTTCGCTGTGGGCCAGAGGTCGACTCAGCTATATGGCCAGACATTTGGGACGATGCAGCCAAGTCGTGAGCTCAAGTTCTGATTGGTCAAGGGGGAACAGCAGTGGAGGGGAGCGGGGATTGGCTGATGGCGGCGTACCGGGTGCACAGCGGCAACAGCGGCAGTGTAGTTGGTTGTGGTGGGCGCTCGCGGGGTGCCACGGCGGGCAGGTGGCTGACAGCCTGTTTCTTCCCCTCAGGGATTGACAGCTCGGAGCCCATGGTGCTGGAGCAGTACGTGGCCGTGGCCAACTACGAAAGGCAGGAGAACTCGGAGATCAGCCTCAAGGCCGGCGAGACGGTGGATGTGATTGAGAAGAGCGAAAGTGGTGAGTTGGTTGTTTATTGTTCATGTGACACAAACATGTGTGTTGACTTCTGTTAGCCTGATGCACAATAAGATCTTTAACAGAGCCTCTCTATTAACACTGTATGTTGTGTTGAAGAGTAATATCACATGTGGCTCCTATACACATTGTTGGAATTGCTTGACATGTCGTTTGTTTGTTTGTTTCTTCCTGTTTGTATCTGCCCCTCTCTGAGTACAGATTAGAATCACAAACATACTCCTCCCTTACACAGAGCGTCATGCTCACTCAGCACCTCTCTGTCTCCCTGCTCTTGATTTTACTCTTTCTCTTTCTAATCCCCTTTGTCTGTACGGGTCCCCCACTCAAGCCTCCCTCCTGCTCCTCTGCTCTCCCTTCGTCTTTCCCCTCTTCTCCTAATCTGACCATCTCCTAGCTGGGGCTATTGGCACCACCTGGAGGTACTGTTTGGCTGGCAGCAGTCAATGTGTGGGTGTGTATGTGTGTGTGTGTGTGTGTGTGTGTGTGTGTGTGTGCATGTGCGTGTGTGTGAGGCAGAGTTATGGCTGGAGGCCAGTTTTTTGCCTTTTGCAGCAAGAATGTCAAGTAAATTCAGAGGCATTTTTCAACTTGAGATATGAGATGTTATATCGTGTAGGTGTAAAGTTAAACATAGTCAGCATGAAGTGGTATCTGTTGAGTGAACTACTCTGGTAATGCAGAGAGTGCAGAGTGCAGATCAGCTGAACACTTGCATCGCCAATGGATGCAGCACCTCACTTTTCACCTTGTATATGCCACTATGGAAACTGTGTTTAGCAATCCAGAGCTGGATCTCATTTTCCACGCAAACGGCGACTTGCAGCCAGTGGCTTGTTCTACTCAAGAGAACTCAGCAGAAAGCCTGACATAAACCTGCTGTGTCCCTGTCATTCTCCCCCGCTCTTATCTATTCACTGATTACACATGCAAATCCATTTTCTTTGAGTTATCTCGGGTTGCGCAATATTGAGCGATTATGTGCCTTAATGAGTCAGTTTTAGCATCGAACCAGCAGCTCGTCAGTTTGTCATTTCTCTGCGGGCCTCACATAACATTTGGTGCCTTTCCTCTTTGTCTGCTGTCGACATAAAAGAGATAAGTGGTAAATGAAGTTTCGACAGCACAAAGCAGTCGCATGGGAAATGATTTTCTTTTGTCACGTGGCTTTCAGTCAAACTTGTTCTCGAACAAAACTCAATGTCCTCTTGAGATTTGCTGATGCGCTACTTTCCAGTATCCCTCTCAGCTTTGTTTAGCAGAATTTGACAAATGTCAAGTGGGGAAATTAATTTCTCTCATGTATCTTTAACTGCTAAGTTTTAATGAATATATGTGTCCCTCGGTTACACAGTTATCTTCTTTGGTGATCCCTTTTCTCTATATTTGGCTTCAACAGCATGTGCTCACCAGCTTCATTCTGATTGTCCAACACTGATTGATCCAGCAAAAATGTCTTATTTCTGAGGAACTCATGGATACGTGTGCTGTTGTCAATTACTGGCTAAAGAACTGGAGCAACAGCCGTGATGATGATGAGGATGATGATGATGATGTCATCAGTCAGGGGCTAAGCCAAGACAAATACATCTGAGACCTTGTATAATATCCCACAACCCCCTTCCCTCTTTCAAGGCTTCTCTGGTCAGAGCATGCTTATTTTCTTTGATGTTTTCAATTCAAAGACACTGACAGTCTGTTAATTGGAGCTTATTTTCTTTAACAGTCAGTAAGTGTCAGTGGAATACTGTGATATCTTTCATCATTTCCAGAAAATGCTGCAAACCATATTCTACCTGCTCTTTTTTCAAATGCTAATTTATTTTTTCCTTCACTAATTAGGCAGAGATGGTATTGTGTGTAATAATTTGTTTTAATCATTCCAACACACAATATTTCAAATCATTTTTGAGTGTCTGAAGGCTTAACTTGAGTGGAATCAGATGTTCTTCTGTCTATATAAGAAGTTGTTGCCCTTGCAAGTCTAGACCCAGCTGTTTAACTGAACTATGTTAACAAGGTCCATCATCATATAAAAAAAACAAAACATATCCCAATCATAATCTGTGTGGGGGGATGTGAGTTTCTGTGTATTGTTGTTGTATCTCAAAATTTAGGAGCTGCTGTTTAGTAAAGTGAGATTTATGAAGCACCGAGAGGGTAAAGAGGGGGGGGACCGGAATCATCCCTGAGAGAGGAGTAGAGGCTTCTTCTGGGCCATTGTGTCCCAGCTGGAGAAAATAAGTCTGCTTATGTGACCAGTTAAATGTTTTGGATAGGGAGGCAGTGATGTGAAAGAGACTGAGAAGAAAGGTGAATGTTCAAAAGGTTAAAAAGATACAGACCTGTGTTAGATCTTGCTAAATGAGAATCCTCTTAAGGGTACCAAACTGGGCACATGGAACAATGCAGCTGTACCACAAGAGTAAAATAGAAGTGGTAGGAATATATTTTTATCAAATGTTTTGTGAATTTCTGCACAATTTCTTTAACAAGTCTGGGTTGTTCCCATGTTGTCAATCAGATGCAGAATGCAGAACAAGAAAACATTTAAATACAATAAAACAGTTGCCAGAGTACTTCAAGTTTTTTGTAATGATCAAACGGTGTCTGGAACCCCAGCATCATATTTTTCTGATGTTGGACATGGCACAGGGTTGCGTATGCCAACCGTTTTAACTGTTCAAAACAATCCCACATTCACACCCACTTACACAGTTATTGGTCAGATCTATGGAGATAGGTGTTGCATTAAAAGTTGGTTTCAGACTGGTTTTAAGATAAATGAGCAGTCATTTCATTCATTCATTCCTACTTTTGAGTTGTGATGGGCAGATTTTCAGTCTTTAAATCATTTGAGGAAAGAGTTTACAAAGTATAGGCTGTTAAACCTTTATTTTAAAATAAATATTGTTGTATCCCTTTCTATGAGAGAAGATCCGCCCCACCCATATGGACATTAGTTGTTGGCCTTCAGGCTTTACCTGTGCATAAGTAATAGATGTACATATGTTTTAAAGTGACGACAACTGTAGCTTTGGGATATGTTGATGGCCAGGAGGTTTGAGATCCTGACTCTGAAACTGCAGTGTTATCATGAAGATGTCTGGAATTGCCCCCCCCCCAAAAAAATGTACCTCCCATCAGTGCTATGAAGACATGGCCTCAGCTATTGCTTTTGTCTTCCTGCCTTTTAATATTCATGTCAGCGAAGGATTGGTTAAATCAAGCAACAAGCCTTCCACCCATTTACCAAAGAGACGGAGGGGAATATATGGTAGGGGGGGCACTTTTTTCCCCTTGTTTCATCTGGCGAGAGCCCGAGACTAATGGATCTGCCAGGAGGACCTTGACACTAAACTGCAAACAGGATTCTTTGGGTTAGTGTGCCACCCAAGCCCCAACACCAGCAGGAGAAATCATTTGCCTAAATATCCTGGCCCTTCTTGTTGCCAAGTTTCAGGGGCATTTCATCACAGTTGTTTTAAAGAGATTAGACAGATTTGCTTTCCTCTCTCTGGACTTGACTCTACACCTCACTTGATGCCTGACCCCCTGCTGTGTTGCCAGTTAATACTAATCCTCATTTGGAAAATAGAATATAACAACTGCTGTTTTTGTAGACTTCAGTCATAAATTGTTATAGTCCACAAAGAAAATGTTTTACTTTTGCCTTTACAAGTCAGCAGGTATCATGCTGCTGAGAGAATCAAAGCCTGGAGTTTTGACTGCATTTTCCCACCACATCTCCCACTTCCCAGGTGATCTGGAGAAGTGGGCAGAAACTGTGTCCTCAGTTCTGTGCTTGGTCTGTCTCAAGACTGTTCCCTGCGTTGACTACTTTCAGTTAGTATCAAAACCTTCTCTTGCATTAGGTCATTTATACTTCAAGCTCTACTTAGCTAAGAGTAAGCCTTGACTTGCGGCTACGAAATAATTACTGCAGTCGAGTGTTACAGTAAATGGAAAATGTCAATAAATACATCTGCATTCTGGCAATGACTGGAATTTACTGATATTGGACAGCCTGCCCTTTAGGCTCTACTCGGTAAGAAACTGTTGGTCTCAAGCACACCCATATGTCTGGATTACAAACAAGAGTTTATTCTAACTGCCTTGGATATGATCATTTGTTAGGGCCAGTGCACTGATGCTGCGAGAAACGAAGTGTTTTTGTAATGATTGTTATTATGACCCGAGACCTATTGTTTTTGAAGGAGTTGTCGTTCTGCTGCAGAAACTATTTTAAAGGCCTCAGGATGGTCAAAAACTCACAGACTTGATTGGGCTCAGTGCTGCCAGGGAGTCGTACTTGTACAAAATTTGAACAAAAATTAATTAATCAGTTTGACAGATTTTTGGTCAGTATAATCTTAAGACCTTTGTGCAACAAACTAACAATGATCAATTAATGAACTAAACCGTTCACCATTACATTTATAGCCCCATTGAGAATACAGCAAAGATCCAGTAAATTATGTCGTGTGAAGCATATGAATTTTAAATCGTTGTTTTATGGCACCATCATAGAATGAAGTATTTCACAGTATCATTATCAGTGTGGGATGAATTTATATTTTAAAATACTGAGTGGAATGTCAACGGACAAATGATCAAAGTGAAATAATGGGGCTCTTTTTACCAGGCTTGTGTGAAGGGATCTTTAAAAGGTGTTGCATGAGAAGCCAGCTTGACATAGCCTCCACCTTAAGCCGTCAAATGCATTTCATGTCTTTAATTAAGGTGTACTGAGGGCTAGTTTTAAAGATGTTCTGCATCACAGAAGGCTGTTTTGGACAGGACTCACATGGGGGGCTGGATGCAAGCATTAGACTGCATCAATAAGTGTTGTACGTCTTGAGCCAGGAGATGGCCCACTATCATTCTCACAACACCCTAGCAGTAAAAACGTGCCCAGCAGCTTCAGCCATTTCATTCTTAGACTTGAGCTCAGATAATCTAGGGTTAGTGGGGACTGAACT